GTTTCCGGCTCTGTTGGAGTAGTTTGTTCTTGGGTTGTTAGTTTCGGAGTGGTAGAATAATCAAAAGTGGTAGGCTCCATAGTTGTTTCCGGCTCTGTTGGAGTAGTTTGTTCTGGGGTTGTTAGTTTCGGAGTGGTAGAATAATCATTAGTGGTAGGCTCCAGAGTTGTTTCCGGCTCCGTTGGAGTAGTTTGTTCTGGGGTTGTTAGTTTCGGAGTGGTAGAATAATCAGAAGTGGTAGGCTCCAGGGTTGTTTCCGGCTCTGTTGGAGTAGTTTGTTCTGGGGTTGTTAGTTTCGGAGTGGTAGAATAATCAGAAGTGGTAGGCTCCAGAGTTGTTTCCGGCTCTGTTGGAGTAGTTTGTTCTGGGGTTGTTAGTTTCGGAGTAATAGAATAATCAGTCGTGGTAGGCTCCAGAGTTGTTTCCGGCTCTGTTGGAGTAGTTTGTTCTTGGGTTGTTAGTTTCGGAGTGGTAGAATAATCAGAAGTGGTAGGCTCCATAGTTGTTTCCGGCTCTGTTGGAGTAGTTTGTTCTGGGGTTGTTAGTTTCGGAGTGGTAGAATAATCAGAAGTGGTAGGCGCCAGAGTTGTTTCCGGCTCTGTTGGAGTAGTTTGTTCTTGGGTTGTTAGTTTCGGAGTGGTAGAATAATCAGAAGTGGTAGGCTCCAGAGTTGTTTCCGGCTCTGTTGGAGTAGTTTGTTCTGGGGTTGTTAGTTTCGGAGTGGTAGAATAATCAGAAGTGGTATGCTCCAGGGTTGTTTCCGGCTCTGTTGGAGTAGTTTGTTCTGGGGTTGTTAGTTTCGGAGTGGTAGAATAATCAGAAGTGGTAGGCTCCAGAGTTGTTTCCGGCTCTGTTGGAGTAGTTTGTTCTGGGGTTGTTAGTTTCGGAGTGGTAGAATAATCAGAAGTGGTAGGCTCCAGAGTTGTTTCCGGCTCTGTTGGAGTAGTTTGTTCTGGGTTGTTAGTTTCGGAGTGGTAGAATAATCAGAAGTGGTAGGCTCCATAGTTGTTTCCGGCTCTGTTGGAGTAGTTTGTTCTGGGGTTGTTAGTTTCGGAGTGGTAGAATAATCAAAGTGGTAGGCTCCATAGTTGTTTCCGGCTCTGTTGGAGTAGTTTGTTCTGGGGTTGTTAGTTTCGGAGTGGTAGAATAATCAGAAGTGGTAGGCTCCAGAGTTGTTTCCGGCTCTGTTGGAGTAGTTTGTTCTGGGGTTGTTAGTTTCGGAGTGGTAGAATAATCAGAAGTGGTAGGCTCCAGAGTTGTTTCCGGCTCTGTTGGAGTTGTTTGTTCTGGGGTTGTTAGTTTCGGAGTGGAAGAATAATCAGAAGTGGTAGGCTCCAGGGTTGTTTCCGGCTCTGTTGGAGTAGTTTGTTCTGGGGTTGTTAGTTTCGGAGTGGTAGAATAATCAGAAGTGGTAGGCTCCATAGTTGTTTCCGGCTCTGTTGGAGTAGTTTGTTCTGGGTTGTTAGTTTCGGAGTGGTAGAATAATCAGAAGTGGTAGGCTCCAGAGTTGTTTCCGGCTCTGTTGGAGTAGTTTGTTCTGGGGTTGTTAGTTTCGGAGTGGTAGAATAATCAGAAGTGGTAGGCTCCAGAGTTGTTTCCGGCTCTGTTGGAGTAGTTTGTTCTGGGGTTGTTAGTTTCGGAGTGGTAGAATAATCAGAAGTGGTAGGCTCCAGCGTTGTTTCCGGCTCTGTTGGAGTAGTTTGTTCTGGGTTGTTAGTTTCGGAGTGGAAGAATAATCAGAAGTGGTAGGCTCCATAGTTGTTTCCGGCTCTGTTGGAGTAGTTTGTTCTGGGGTTGTTAGTTTCGGAGTGGTAGAATAATCAGAAGTGGTAGGCTCCATAGTTGTTTCCGGCTCTGTTGGAGTAGTTTGTTCTGGGGTTGTTAGTTTCGGAGTGGTAGAATAATCAGAAGTGGTAGGCTCCATAGTTGTTTCCGGCTCTGTTGGAGTAGTTTGTTCTTGGGTTGTTAGTTTCGGAGTGGTAGAATAATCAGAAGTGGTAGGCTCCAGAGTTGTTTCCGGCTCTGTTGGAGTAGTTTGTTCTGGGGTTGTTAGTTTCGGAGTGGTAGAATAATCAGAAGTGGTAGGCTCCTGCGTTGTTTCCGGCTCTGTTGGAGTAGTTTGTTCTTGGGTTGTTAGTTTCGGAGTGGTAGAATAATCAGAAGTGGTAGGCTCCATGAGTTGTTTCCGGCTCTGTTGGAGTAGTTTGTTCTGGGGTTGTTAGTTTCGGAGTGGTAGAATAATCAGAAGTGGTAGGCTCCATAGTTGTTTCCGGCTCTGTTGGAGTAGTTTGTTCTGGGTTGTTAGTTTCGGAGTGGTAGAATAATCAGAAGTGGTAGGCTCCATAGTTGTTTCCGGCTCTGTTGGAGTAGTTTGTTCTTGGGTTGTTAGTTTCGGAGTGGTAGAATAATCAGAAGTGGTAGGCTCCATAGTTGTTTCCGGCTCTGTTGGAGTAGTTTGTTCTGGGGTTGTTAGTTTCGGAGTGGTAGAATAATCAGAAGTGGTAGGCTCCTGCGTTGTTTCCGGCTCTGTTGGAGTAGTTTGTTCTGGGGTTAGTTTCGGAGTGGTAGAATAATCAGAAGTGGTAGGCTCCATAGTTGTTTCCGGCTCTGTTGGAGTAGTTTGTTCTGGGGTTGTTAGTTTCGGAGTGGTAGAATAATCAGAAGTGGTAGGCTCCATAGTTGTTTCCGGCTCTGTTGGAGTAGTTTGTTCTGGGGTTGTTAGTTTCGGAGTGGTAGAATAATCAGAAGTGGTAGGCTCCATAGTTGTTTCCGGCTCTGTTGGAGTAGTTTGTTCTGGGGTTGTTAGTTTCGGAGTGGTAAATAATCAGAAGTGGTAGGCTCCTGCGTTGTTTCCGGCTCTGTTGGAGTAGTTTGTTCTGGGGTTGTTAGTTTCGGAGTGGTAGAATAATCAGAAGTGGTAGGCTCCATAGTTGTTTCCGGCTCTGTTGGAGTAGTTTGTTCTGGGGTTGTTAGTTTCGGAGTGGTAGAATAATCAGAAGTGGTAGGCTCCATAGTTGTTTCCGGCTCTGTTGGAGTAGTTTGTTCTGGGGTTGTTAGTTTCGGAGTGGTAGAATAATCAGAAGTGGTAGGCTCCAGAGTTGTTTCCGGCTCTGTTGGAGTAGTTTGTTCTGGGGTTGTTAGTTTCGGAGTGGTAAATAATCAGAAGTGGTAGGCTCCATAGTTGTTTCCGGCTCTGTTGGAGTAGTTTTGTTCTGGGGTTGTTAGTTTCGGAGTGGTAGAATAATCAGAAGTGGTAGGCTCCTGAGTTGTTTCCGGCTCTGTTGGAGTAGTTTGTTCTTGGGTGTTAGTTTCGGAGTGGAAGAATAATCAGAAGTGGTAGGCTCCAGAGTTGTTTCCGGCTCTGTTGGAGTAGTTTGTTCTGGGGTTGTTAGTTTCGGAGTGGTAGAATAATCAGAAGTGGTAGGCTCCATAGTTGTTTCCGGCTCTGTTGGAGTAGTTTGTTCTGGGGTTGTTAGTTTCGGAGTGGTAGAATAATCAGAAGTGGTAGGCTCCTGAGTTGTTTCCGGCTCTGTTGGAGTAGTTTGTTCTGGGTTGTTAGTTTCGGAGTGGAAGAATAATCAGAAGTGGTAGGCTCCATAGTTGTTTCCGGCTCTGTTGGAGTAGTTTGTTCTGGGGTTGTTAGTTTCGGAGTGGTAGAATAATCAGAAGTGGTAGGCTCCTGCGTTGTTTCCGGCTCTGTTGGAGTAGTTTGTTCTGGGGTTGTTAGTTTCGGAGTGGAAGAATAATCAGAAGTGGTAGGCTCCATAGTTGTTTCCGGCTCTGTTGGAGTAGTTTGTTCTGGGGTTGTTAGTTTCGGAGTGGTAGAATAATCAGAAGTGGTAGGCTCCAGGTTGTTTCCGGCTCTGTTGGAGTAGTTTGTTCTGGGGTTGTTAGTTTCGGAGTGGTAGAATAATCAGAAGTGGTAGGCTCCTGAGTTGTTTCCGGCTCTGTTGGAGTAGTTTGTTCTGGGGTTGTTAGTTTCGGAGTGGTAAATAATCAGAAGTGGTAGGCTCCATAGTTGTTTCGGCTCTGTTGGAGTAGTTTGTTCTGGGGTTGTTAGTTTCGGAGTGGTAGAATAATCAGAAGTGGTAGGCTCCTGCGTTGTTTCCGGCTCTGTTGGAGTAGTTTGTTCTGGGGTTGTTAGTTTCGGAGTGGAAGAATAATCATTAGTGGTAGGCTCCATAGTTGTTTCCGGCTCTGTTGGAGTAGTTTGTTCTGGGGTTGTTAGTTTCGGAGTGGTAGAATAATCAGAAGTGGTAGGCTCCATAGTTGTTTCCGGCTCTGTTGGAGTAGTTTGTTCTGGGCTTGTTAGTTTCGGAGTGGTAGAATAATCATTAGTGGTAGGCTCCATAGTTGTTTCCGGCTCTGTTGGAGTAGTTTGTTCTGGGGTTGTTAGTTTCGGAGTGGTAGAATAATCAGAAGTGGTAGGCTCCAGAGTTGTTTCCGGCTCTGTTGGAGTAGTTTGTTCTGGGGTTGTTAGTTTCGGAGTGGTAGAATAATCAGAAGTGGTAGGCTCCAGCGTTGTTTCCGGCTCTGTTGGAGTAGTTTGTTCTGGGTTGTTAGTTTCGGAGTGGAAGAATAATCAGAAGTGGTAGGCTCCAGAGTTGTTTCCGGCTCTGTTGGAGTAGTTTGTTCTGGGGTTGTTAGTTTCGGAGTGGTAGAATAATCAGAAGTGGTAGGCTCCATAGTTGTTTCCGGCTCTGTTGGAGTAGTTTGTTCTGGGTTGTTAGTTTCGGAGTGGTAGAATAATCAGAAGTGGTAGGCTCCTGAGTTGTTCCGGCTCTGTTGGAGTAGTTTGTTCTTGGGTTGTTAGTTTCGGAGTGGTGGAATAATCAGAAGTGGTAGGCTCCATAGTTGTTTCCGGCTCTGTTGGAGTAGTTTGTTCTGGGGTTGTTAGTTTCGGAGTGGTAAAATAATCAGAAGTGGTAGGCTCCTGCGTTGTTTCCGGCTCTGTTGGAGTAGTTTGTTCTGGGGTTGTTAGTTTCGGAGTGGAAGAATATTCAGAAGTGGTTGGCTCCATAGTTGTTTCCGGCTTTGTTGGAGTAGTTTGTTCTGGGGTTGTTAGTTTCGGAGTTGTAGAATAATCATTAGTGGTAGGCTCCATAGTTGTTTCCGGCTCTGTTGGAGTAGTTTGTTCTGGGCTTGTTAGTTTCGGAGTGGTAGAATAATCAGAAGTGATAGGCTCCATAGTTGTCTCCGGCTCTGTTGGAGTAGTTTGTTTTGGGGTTGTTAGTTTCGGAGTGGTAGAATATTCAGAAGTGGTAGGCTCCTGCGTTGTTTCCGGCTCTGTTGAAGTAGTTTGTTCTTGGGTTGTTAGTTTCGGAGTGGTAGAATAATCAGAAGTGGTAGGTTCCAGAGTTGTTTCCGGCTCTGTTGGAGTAGTTTGTTCTGGGGTTGAGGGTTTCGGAGTAGTAGAATAATCAGAAGTGGTAGGCTCCATAGTTGTTTCCGGCTCTGTTGGAGTAGTTTGTTCTGGGGTTGTTAGTTTCGGAGTGGAAGAATAATCAGAAGTGGTAGGCTCCAGAGTTGTTTCCGGCTCTGTTGGAGTAGTTTGTTCTGGGGTTGTTAGTTTCGGAGTGGTAAAGTAATCAGAAGTGGTAGGCTTAATAGTTGTTTTCGGCTCTGTTGGAGTAGTTTTGTCTGGGGTTGTTAGTTTCGGAGTGGTAGAATAATCAGAAGTGGTAGGCTCCTGCGTTGTTTCCGGCTCTGTTGAAGTAGTTTGTTCTTGGGTTGTTAGTTTCGGAGTGGAAGAATAATCAGAAGTGGTAGGTTCCAGAGTTGTTTCCGGCTGTGTTGGAGTAGTTTGTTCTGGGGTCGTTAGTTTTTGAGTGGTAGAATAATCAGAAGTGGTAGGCTCCATAGTTGTTTCCGGCTCTGTTGGAGTAATCTGTTCTGGGGTTGTTAGTTTCAGAGTGGTAGAATAATCAGAAGTGGTAGGCTCCTGAGTTGTATCCGGCTCTGTTGGAGTAGTTTGTTCTTGGGTTGTTAGTTTCGTAGTGGTAGAATAATCAGAAGTGGTAGGCTCCATAGTTGTTTCCGGCTCTGTTGGAGTAGTTTGTTCTGGGGTTGTTAGTTTCGGAGTGGTAAAATAATCAGAAGTGGTAGGCTCCTGCGTTGTTTCCGGCTCTGTTGGAGTAGTTTGTTCTGGGGTTGTTAGTTTCGGAGTGGAAGAATATTCAGAAGTGGTTGGCTCCATAGTTGTTTCCGGCTTGTTGGAGTAGTTTGTTCTGGGGTTGTTAGTTTCGGAGTTGTAGAATAATCAGAAGTGGTATGCTCCAGGGTTGTTTCCGGCTCTGTTGGAGTAGTTTGTTCTGGGGTTGTTAGTTTCAGAGTGGTAGAATAATCAGAAGTGGTAGGCTCCTGAGTTGTATCCGGCTCTGTTGGAGTAGTTTGTTCTGGGGTTGTTAGTTTCGGAGTGGTAATAATCAGAAGTGGTAGGCTTAATAGTTGTTTTCGGCTCTGTTGGAGTAGTTTGTCTGGGGTTGTTAGTTTCGGAGTGGTAGAATAATCAGAAGTGGTAGGCTCCTGCGTTGTTTCCGGCTCTGTTGGAGTAGTTTGTTCTTGGGTTGTTAGTTTCGGAGTGGAAGAATAATCAGAAGTGGTAGGCTCCAGAGTTGTTTCCGGCTCTGTTGGAGTAGTTTGTTCTGGGGTGTTAGTTTCGGAGTGGTAGAATAATCAGAAGTGGTAGGCTCCATAGTTGTTTCCGGCTCTGTTGGAGTAATTTGTTCTGGGGTTGTTAGTTTCGGAGTGGTAGAATAATCAGAAGTGGTAGGCTCCTGAGTTGTTTCCGGCTCTGTTGGAGTAGTTTGTTCTTGGGTTGTTAGTTTCGAGTGGTGGAATAATCAGAAGTGGTAGGCTCCATAGTTGTTTCCGGCTCTGTTGGAGTAGTTTGTTCTGGGGTTGTTAGTTTCGGAGTGGTAAAATAATCAGAAGTGGTAGGCTCCTGCGTTGTTTCCGGCTCTGTTGGAGTAGTTTGTTCTGGGGTTGTTAGTTTCGGAGTGGAAGAATAATCAGAAGTGGTAGGCTCCATAGTTGTTTCCGGCTTTGTTGGAGTAGTTTGTTCTGGGGTTGTTAGTTTCGGAGTTGTAGAATAATCATTAGTGGTAGGTTCCAGAGTTGTTTCCGGCTCTGTTGGAGTAGTTTGTTCTGGGGTTGAGTTTCGGAGTAGTAGAATAATCAGAAGTGGTAGGCTCCATAGTTGTTTCCGGCTCTGTTGGAGTAGTTTGTTCTGGGGTTGTTAGTTTCGGAGTGGAAGAATAATCAGAAGTGGTAGGCTCCAGAGTTGTTTCCGGCTCTGTTGGAGTAGTTTGTTCTGGGGTTGTTAGTTTCGGAGTGGTAAATAATCAGAAGTGGTAGGCTTAATAGTTGTTTTCGGCTCTGTTGGAGTAGTTTTGTCTGGGGTTGTTAGTTTCGGAGTGGTAGAATAATCAGAAGTGGTAGGCTCCTGCGTTGTTTCCGGCTCTGTTGAAGTAGTTTGTTCTTGGGTTGTTAGTTTCGGAGTGGAAGAATAATCAGAAGTGGTAGGTTCCAGAGTTGTTTCCGGCTCTGTTGGAGTAGTTTGTTCTGGGGTTGTTAGTTTTTGAGTGGTAGAATAATCAGAAGTGGTAGGCTCCATAGTTGTTTCCGGCTCTGTTGGAGTAGTTTGTTCTGGGGTTGTTAGTTTCGGAGTGGTAGAATAATCAGAAGTGGTAGGCTCCTGAGTTGTTTCCGGCTCTGTTGGAGTAGTTTGTTCTTGGGTTGTTAGTTTCGGAGTGGTGGAATAATCAGAAGTGGTAGGCTCCATAGTTGTTTCCGGCTCTGTTGGAGTAGTTTGTTCTGGGGTTGTTAGTTTCGGAGTGGTAAAATAATCAGAAGTGGTAGGCTCCTGCGTTGTTTCCGGCTCTGTTGGAGTAGTTTGTTCTGGGGTTGTTAGTTTCGGAGTGGAAGAATATTCAGAAGTGGTTGGCTCCATAGTTGTTTCCGGCTCTGTTGGAGTAGTTTGTTCTGGGGTTGTTAGTTTCGGAGTTGTAGAATAATCAGAAGTGGTATGCTCCAGGGTTGTTTCCGCCTCTGTTGGAGTAGTTTGTTCTGGGGTTGTTAGTTTCGGAGTGGTAGAATAATCAGAAGTGGTAGGCTCCTGAGTTGTTTCCGGCTCTGTTGGAGTAGTTTGTTCTGGGTTGTTAGTTTCGGAGTGGTAAAGTAATCAGAAGTGGTAGGCTTAATAGTTGTTTCGGCTCTGTTGGAGTAGTTTTGTCTGGGGTTGTTAGTTTCGGAGTGGTAGAATAATCAGAAGTGGTAGGCTCCTGCGTTGTTTCCGGCTCTGTTGAAGTAGTTTGTTCTTGGGTTGTTAGTTTCGGAGTGGAAGAATAATCAGAAGTGGTAGGCTCCTGAGTTGTATCCGGCTCTGTTGGAGTAGTTTGTTCTGGGGTTGTTAGTTTCGGAGTGGTAAATAATCAGAAGTGGTAGGCTTAATAGTTGTTTTCGGCTCTGTTGGAGTAGTTTGTTCTGGGGTTGTTAGTTTCGGAGTGGTAGAATAATCAGAAGTGGTAGGCTCCTGCGTTGTTTCCGGCTCTGTTGAAGTAGTTTGTTCTTGGGTTGTTAGTTTCGGAGTGGAAGAATAATCAGAAGTGGTAGGCTCCAGAGTTGTTTCCGGCTCTGTTGGAGTAGTTTGTTCTGGGGTCGTTAGTTTTTGAGTGGTAGAATAATCAGAAGTGGTAGGCTCCATAGTTGTTTCCGGCTCTGTTGGAGTAATTTGTTCTGGGGTTGTTAGTTTCAGAGTGGTAGAATATTCAGAAGTGGTAGGCTCCTGAGTTGTATCCGGCTCTGTTGGAGTAGTTTGTTCTTGGGTTGTTAGTTTCGGAGTGGTGGAATAATCAGAAGTGGTAGGCTCCATAGTTGTTTCCGGCTCTGTTGGAGTAGTTTGTTCTGGGGTTGTTAGTTTCGGAGTGGAAGAATATTCAGAAGTGGTTGGCTCCATAGTTGTTTCCGGTTTTGTTGGAGTAGTTTGTTCTGGGGTTGTTAGTTTCGGAGTTGTAGAATAATCATTAGTGGTAGGTTCCAGAGTTGTTTCCGGCTCTGTTGGAGTAGTTTGTTCTGGGGTTGAGGGTTTCGGAGTAGTAGAATAATCAGAAGTGGTAGGCTCCATAGTTGTTTCCGGCTCTGTTGGAGTAGTTTGTTCTGGGGTTGTTAGTTTCGGAGTGGAAGAATAATCAGAAGTGGTAGGCTCCAGAGTTGTTTCCGGCTCTGTTGGAGTAGTTTGTTCTGGGGTTGTTAGTTTCGGAGTGGTAAAGTAATCAGAAGTGGTAGGCTTAATAGTTGTTTTCGGCTCTGTTGGAGTAGTTTTGTCTGGGGTTGTTAGTTTCGGAGTGGTAGAATAATCAGAAGTGGTAGGCTCCTGCGTTGTTTCCGGCTCTGTTGAAGTAGTTTGTTCTTGGGTTGTTAGTTTCGGAGTGGAAGAATAATCAGAAGTGGTAGGTTCCAGAGTTGTTTCCGGCTCTGTTGGAGTAGTTTGTTCTGGGGTCGTTAGTTTTTGAGTGGTAGAATAATCAGAAGTGGTAGGCTCCATAGTTGTTTCCGGCTCTGTTGGAGTAATCTGTTCTGGGGTTGTTAGTTTCAGAGTGGTAGAATAATCAGAAGTGGTAGGCTCCTGAGTTGTATCCGGCTCTGTTGGAGTAGTTTGTTCTGGGTTGTTAGTTTCGTAGTGGTGGAATAATCAGAAGTGGTAGGCTCCATAGTTGTTTCCGGCTCTGTTGGAGTAGTTTGTTCTGGGGTTGTTAGTTTCGGAGTGGTAAAATAATCAGAAGTGGTAGGCTCCTGCGTTGTTTCCGGCTCTGTTGGAGTAGTTTGTTCTGGGGTTGTTAGTTTCGGAGTGGAAGAATTTTCAGAAGTGGTTGGCTCCATAGTTGTTTCCGGTTTTGTTGGAGTAGTTTGTTCTGGGGTTGTTAGTTTCGGAGTTGTAGAATAATCAGAAGTGGTATGCTCCAGGGTTGTTTCCGCATCTGTTGGAGTAGTTTGTTCTGGGGTTGTTAGTTTCAGAGTGGTAGAATAATCAGAAGTGGTAGGCTCCTGAGTTGTATCCGGCTCTGTTGGAGTAGTTTGTTCTGGGGTTGTTAGTTTCGGAGTGGTAAAGTAATCAGAAGTGGTAGGCTTAATAGTTGTTTTCGGCTCTGTTGGAGTAGTTTTGTCTGGGGTTGTTAGTTTCGGAGTGGTAGAATAATCAGAAGTGGTAGGCTCCTGCGTTGTTTCCGGCTCTGTTGAAGTAGTTTGTTCTTGGGTTGTTAGTTTCGGAGTGGAAGAATAATCAGAAGTGGTAGGCTTAATAGTTGTTTTCGGCTCTGTTGGAGTAGTTTTGTCTGGGGTTGTTAGTTTCGGAGTGGTAGAATAATCAGAAGTGGTAGGCTCCTGCGTTGTTTCCGGCTCTGTTGAAGTAGTTTGTTCTGGGTTGTTAGTTTCGGAGTGGAAGAATAATCAGAAGTGGTAGGCTCCTGAGTTGTATCCGGCTCTGTTGGAGTAGTTTGTTCTGGGGTTGTTAGTTTCGGAGTGGTAAAGTAATCAGAAGTGGTAGGCTTAATAGTTGCTTTCGGCTCTGTTGGAGTAGTTTTGTCTGGGGTTGTTAGTTTCGGAGTGGTAGAATAATCAGAAGTGGTAGGCTCCTGCGTTGTTTCCGGCTCTGTTGAAGTAGTTTGTTCTTGGGTTGTTAGTTTCGGAGTGGAAGAATAATCAGAAGTGGTAGGTTCCAGAGTTGTTTCCGGCTCTGTTGGAGTAGTTTGTTCTGGGGTCGTTAGTTTTTGAGTGGTAGAATAATCAGAAGTGGTAGGCTCCATAGTTGTTTCCGGCTCTGTTGGAGTAATCTGTTCTGGGGTTGTTAGTTTCAGAGTGGTAGAATAATCAGAAGTGGTAGGCTCCTGAGTTGTATCCGGCTCTGTTGGAGTAGTTTGTTCTTGGGTTGTTAGTTTCGTAGTGGTGGAATAATCAGAAGTGGTAGGCTCCATAGTTGTTTCCGGCTCTGTTGGAGTAGTTTGTTCTGGGGTTGTTAGTTTCGGAGTGGTAAAATAATCAGAAGTGGTAGGCTCCTGCGTTGTTTCCGGCTCTGTTGGAGTAGTTTGTTCAGGGGTTGTTAGTTTCGGAGTGGAAGAATATTCAGAAGTGGTTGGCTCCATAGTTGTTTCCGGTTTTGTTGGAGTAGTTTGTTCTGGGGTTGTTAGTTTCGGAGTTGTAGAATAATCATTAGTGGTAGGTTCCAGAGTTGTTTCCGGCTCTGTTGGAGTAGTTTGTTCTGGGGTTGAGGGTTTCGGAGTAGTAGAATAATCAGAAGTGGTAGGCTCCATAGTTGTTTCCGGCTCTGTTGGAGAAGTTTGTTCTAGGGTTGTTAGTTTCGGAGTGGAAGAATAATCAGAAGTGGTAGGCTCCAGAGTTGTTTCCGGCTCTGTTGGAGTAGTTTGTTCTGGGGTTGTTAGTTTCGGAGTGGTAAAGTAATCAGAAGTGGTAGGCTTAATAGTTGTTTTCGGCTCTGTTGGAGTAGTTTTGTCTGGGGTTGTTAGTTTCGGAGTGGTAGAATAATCAGAAGTGGTAGGCTCCTGCGTTGTTTCCGGCTCTGTTGAAGTAGTTTGTTCTTGGGTTGTTAGTTTCGGAGTGGAAGAATAATCAGAAGTGGTAGGTTCCAGAGTTGTTTCCGGCTCTGTTGGAGTAGTTTGTTCTGGGGTCGTTAGTTTTTGAGTGGTAGAATAATCAGAAGTGGTAGGCTCCATAGTTGTTTCCGGCTCTGTTGGAGTAATCTGTTCTGGGGTTGTTAGTTTCAGAGTGGTAGAATAATCAGAAGTGGTAGGCTCCTGAGTTGTATCCGGCTCTGTTGGAGTAGTTTGTTCTTGGGTTGTTAGTTTCGTAGTGGTGGAATAATCAGAAGTGGTAGGCTCCATAGTTGTTTCCGGCTCTGTTGGAGTAGTTTGTTCTGGGGTTGTTAGTTTCGGAGTGGTAAAATAATCAGAAGTGGTAGGCTCCTGCGTTGTTTCCGGCTCTGTTGGAGTAGTTTGTTCTGGGGTTGTTAGTTTCGGAGTGGAAGAATTTTCAGAAGTGGTTGGCTCCATAGTTGTTTCCGGTTTTGTTGGAGTAGTTTGTTCTGGGGTTGTTAGTTTCGGAGTTGTAGAATAATCAGAAGTGGTATGCTCCAGGGTTGTTTCCGCCTCTGTTGGAGTAGTTTGTTCTGGGGTTGTTAGTTTCAGAGTGGTAGAATAATCAGAAGTGGTAGGCTCCTGAGTTGTTTCCGGCTCTGTTGGAGTAGTTTGTTCTGGGGTTGTTAGTTTCGGAGTGGTAAAGTAATCAGAAGTGGTAGGCTTAATAGTTGTTTTCGGCTCTGTTGGAGTAGTTTGTCTGGGGTTGTTAGTTTCGGAGTGGTAGAATAATCAGAAGTGGTAGGCTCCTGCGTTGTTTCCGGCTCTGTTGAAGTAGTTTGTTCTTGGGTTGTTAGTTTCGGAGTGGAAGAATAATCAGAAGTGGTAGGTTCCAGAGTTGTTTCCGGCTCTGTTGGAGTAGTTTGTTCTGGGGTCGTTAGTTTTTGAGTGGTAGAATAATCAGAAGTGGTAGGCTCCATAGTTGTTTCCGGCTCTGTTGGAGTAATCTGTTCTGGGGTTGTTAGTTTCAGAGTGGTAGAATAATCAGAAGTGGTAGGCTCCTGAGTTGTTTCCGGCTCTGTTGGAGTAGTTTGTTCTTGGGTTGTTAGTTTCGTAGTGGTGGAATAATCAGAAGTGGTAGGCTCCATAGTTGTTTCCGGCTCTGTTGGAGTAGTTTGTTCTGGGGTTGTTAGTTTCGGAGTGGTAAAATAATCAGAAGTGGTAGGCTCCTGCGTTGTTTCCGGCTCTGTTGGAGTAGTTTGTTCTGGGGTTGTTAGTTTCGGAGTGGAAGAATATTCAGAAGTGGTTGGCTCCATAGTTGTTTCCGGTTTTGTTGGAGTAGTTTGTTCTGGGGTTGTTAGTTTCGGAGTTGTAGAATAATCATTAGTGGTAGGCTCCATAGTTGTTTCCGGCTCTGTTGGAGTAGTTTGTTCTGGGCTTGTTAGTTTCGGAGTGATAGAATAATCAGAAGTGATAGGCTCCATAGTTGTCTCCGGTTCTGTTGGAGTAATCTGTTTTGGGGTTGTTAGTTTCGGAGTGGTAGAATATTCAGAAGTGGTAGGCTCCTGCGTTGTTTCCGGCTCTGTTGAAGTAGTTTGTTCTTGGGTTGTTAGTTTCGGAGTGGTAGAATAATCAGAAGTGGTAGGTTCCAGAGTTATTTCCGGCTCTGTTGGAGTAGTTTGTTCTGGGGTTGAGGGTTTCGGAGTAGTTGAATAATCAGAAGTGGTAGGCTCCATAGTTGTTTCCGGCTCTGTTGGAGTAGTTTGTTCTGGGGTTGTTAGTTTCGGAGTGGAAGAATAATCAGAAGTGGTAGGCTCCAGAGTTGTTTTCGGCTCTGTTGGAGTAGTTTGTTCTGGGGTTGTTAGTTTCGGAGTGGTAAAGTAATCAGACGTGGTAGGCTTAATAGTTGTTTTCGGCTCTGTTGGAGTAGTTTTGTCTGGGGTTGTTAGTTTCGGAGTGGTAGAATAATCAGAAGTGGTAGGCTCCTGCGTTGTTTCCGGCTCTGTTGAAGTAGTTTGTTCTTGGGTTGTTAGTTTCGGAGTGGAAGAATAATCAGAAGTGGTAGGTTCCAGAGTTGTTTCCGGCTCTGTTGGAGTAGTTTGTTCTGGGGTCGTTAGTTTTTGTGTGGTAGAATAATCAGAAGTGGTAGGCTCCATAGTTGTTTCCGGCTCTGTTGGAGTAATCTGTTCTGGGGTTGTTAGTTTCAGAGTTGTAGAATAATCAGAAGTGGTAGGCTCCTGAGTTGTATCCGGCTCTGTTGGAGTAGTTTGTTCTTGGGTTGTTAGTTTCGTAGTGGTAGAATAATCAGAAGTGGTAGGCTCCATAGTTGTTTCCGGCTCTGTTGGAGTAGTTTGTTCTGGGGTTGTTAGTTTCGGAGTGGTAGAATAATCAGAAGTGGTAGGCTCCTGCGTTGTTTCCGGCTCTGTTGAAGTAGTTTGCTCTGGGGTCGTTAGTTTTTGAGTGGTAGAATAATCAGAAGTGGTAGGCTCCATAGTTGTTTCCGGCTCTGTTGGAGTAATCTGTTCTGGGGTTGTTAGTTTCGGAGTGGTAGAATAATCAGAAGTTGTAGGCTCCTGAGTTGTATCCGGCTCTGTTGGAGTAGTTTGTTCTTGGGTTGTTAGTTTCGTAGTGGTGGAATAATCAGAAGTGGTAGGCTCCATAGTTGTTTCCGGCTCTGTTGGAGTAGTTTGTTCTGGGGTTGTTAGTTTCGGAGTGGTAAAATAATCAGAAGTGGTAGGCTCCTGCGTTGTTTCCGGCTCTGTTGGAGTAGTTTGTTCTGGGGTTGTTAGTTTCGGAGTGGAAGAATATTCAGAAGTGGTTGGCTCCATAGTTGTTTCCGGTTTTGTTGGAGTAGTTTGTTCTGGGGTTGTTAGTTTCGGAGTTGTAGAATAATCATTAGTGGTAGGCTCCATAGTTGTTTCCGGCTCTGTTGGAGTAGTTTGTTCTGGGCTTGTTAGTTTCGGAGTGGTAGAATAATCAGAAGTGATAGGCTCCATAGTTGTTTCCGGTTCTGTTGGAGTAATCTGTTTTGGGGTTGTTAGTTTCGGAGTGGTAGAATATTCAGAAGTGGTAGGCTCCTGCGTTGTTTCCGGCTCTGTTGAAGTAGTTTGTTCTTGGGTTGTTAGTTTCGGAGTGGTAGAATAATCAGAAGTGGTAGGTTCCAGAGTTGTTTCCGGCTCTGTTGGAGTAGTTTGTTCTGGGGTTGAGGGTTTCGGAGTAGTAGAATAATCAGAAGTGGTAGGCTTCATAGTTGCTTCCGGCTCTGTTGGAGTAGTTTGTTCTGGGGTTGTAAGTTTTGGAGTGGTATAATAATTAGAAGTGGTAGGCTTCATAGTTGTTTCCGGCTCTGTTGGAGTAGTTTGTTCTGGGGTTGTTAGTTTCGGAGTGGTAGAATAATCATAAGTGGTAGGCTCCATAGTTGTTTCCGGTTCTGTTGAAGTAATCTGTTTTGGGGTTGTTAGTTTCAGAGGGGTAGAATTATCAGAAGTGGTAGGCTTCTGAGTTGTATCTGGCTCTGTTGGAGAAGTTTGTTCTGGGGTTGTTAGTTTCGGAGTGGTAGAATAAAAAGAAGTGGTAGGCTTAATAGTTGTTTCCGGCTCTGTTGGAGTAGTTTTGTCTGGGGTTGTTAGTTTCGGAGTGGTAGAATAAACAGAAGTGGTAGGCTCCATAGTTGTTTCCGGCTCTGTTGGAGTAGTTTGTTCTGGGGTCGTTAGTTTCGGAGTGGAAGAATAATCAGAAGTGGTAGGCTCCAGAGTTGTTTCCGGCTCTGTTGGAGTAGTCTGTTCTGGGGTTGTTAGTTTCGGAGTAATTGAATAATCATTCGTGGTAGGCTCCATAGTTGTTTCCGGCTCTGTTGGAGTAATCTGTTCTGGGGTTGTTAGTTTCAGAGTGGTAGAATAATCAAAAGTGGTAGGCTCCTGAGTTGTATCCGGCTCTTTTGGAGTATTTTGTTCTTGGGTTGTTAGTTTCGTAGTGGTAGAATAATCAGAAGTGGTAGGCTCCATAGTTGTTTCCGGCTCTGTTGGAGTAGTTTGTTCTGGGGTTGTTAGTTTCGGAGTGGTAGAATAATCAGAAGTGGTAGGCTCCTGCGTTGTTTCCGGCCCTGTTGAAGTAGTTTGTTCTGGGGTTGTTAGTTTCGGAGTGGAAGAATAATCAGAAGTTGTAGGCTCCAGAGTTGTTTCCGGCTCTGTTGGAGTAGTTTGTTCTGGGGTTGGTAGTTTTAGAGTGGTAGAATAATCAGAAGTTGTAGGCTCCTGAGTTGTATCCGGCTTGTTGGAGTAGTTTGTTCTGGGGTCGTTAGTTTCGGAGTGGTAGAATAATCAGAAGTGGAAGGCTCTATGGTTGTTTCCGGTTCTGTTTGAGTAGTTTGTTCTGGGGTTGTTAGTTTCGGAGTGGTAGAATAATCATAAGTGGTAGGCTTTATAGTTGTTTCCGGCTCTGTTGGAGTAGTTTGTTCTGGGGTTGTTAGTTTCGGAGTGGTAGAATATTCAGAAGTTGTAGGCTTCATAGTTATTATCGGCTCTGTTGGAGCAGTTGGTTCTGGGGTTGTTATTTTCGAAGTGGTAGAATAATCAGAAGTGGTAGGCTTCATAGTTGTTTCCGGCTCTTGTTGAGTAGTTTGTTCTTGGGTTGTTAGTTTCGGAGTGGTAGAATATTCAGAAGTTGTAGGCTTCATAGTTATTTCCGGTTTAGTTGGAGTAGTTAGTTCGAAGGTTGATTGGAACGTAGTTGAAGTGGTCGTAGCTTCAGCTGGTGTTGGCTTTTTTGTTGTTTCTTGCTTTGTGGGAGTAGTTTTACCATTCGTCGTTTGTGATGTAGTTGGAGCGGTAGGACATTTGGTAGAGGTAGGCTTCTGTGTTGTTACCTTCTTTGTTGGAGTTGTTTTACCATTGGTTGTTTGTGATGTTGCTGGAGTGGTTGGACATTTGGTAGAGGTAGGCTTCTGTGTTGTTTCCTTATTCGTTGGAGTTGTTTTACCATTGGTCGTTTGCGATGTTGATGGAGTGGTTGGACATTTGGTAGAAGTAGGCTTTCGTGTCGTTTCCTTCTTTGTTGGAGTAGTTTTACCATTGGTCGTTTGTGATGTTGATGGAGTGGTTGGACATTTGGTAGAAGTAGGCTTCCGTGTTGTTTCCTTATTTGTTGGAGTAGTTTTACCATTCGTCGTTTGTGATGTAGTTGGAGCGGTAGGACATTTGGTAGAGGTAGGCTTCTGTGTTGTTACCTTATTTGTTGGAGTAGTCTTACCATTGGTAGTTTGTGATGTACTCGGAGTGGTTGGACATTTGGTAGAGGTAGGCTTCTGTGTTGTTACCTTCTTTGTTGGAGTTGTTTTACCATTGGTCGTTTGTGATGTTGCTGGAGTGGTTGGACATTTGGTAGAGGTAGGCTTCTGTGTTGTTTCCTTATTTGTTGGAGTTGTTTTACCATTGGTCGTTTGTGATGTTGATGGAGTGGTTGGACATTTGGTAGAAGTAGGCTTTCGTGTTGTTTCCTTCTTTGTTGGAGTAGTTTTACCATTGGTCTTTTGTGATGTTGATGGAGTGGTTGGACATTTGGTAGAAGTAGTCTTCCGTGTTGTTTCCTTATTTGTTGGAGTTGTTTTACCATTGGTCGTTTGTGATGTTGATGGAGTGGTTGGACATTTGGTAGATGTAGGCTTCTGTGTTGTTTCCTTCTTTGTTGGAGTAGTTTTACCATTGGTCGTTTGTGATGTACTCGGAGTGGTTGAACATTTGGTAGATGAAGGCTTCTGTGTTGTTTCTTTATGTGTTGGAGTTGTTTTACCATTGGTCGTTTGTGGTGTTGATGGAGTGGTTGGACATTTGGTAGAAGTAGGCTTCTGTGTTGTTTCCCTCTTTGTTGGAGTAGTTTTACCATTGGTCGTTTGTGATGTTGAAGGAGTGGTTGGACATTTGGTAGAAGTAGGCTTCTGTGTTGTTTCCCTCTTTGTTGGAGTAGTTTTACCATTGGTCGTTTGTGGTGTTGATGGAGTGGTTGGACATTTGGTAGAAGTAGGCTTCTGTGTTGTTTCCCTCTTTGTTGGAGTAGTTTCACCATTGGTCGTTTGTGATGTAGTTGGCGCGGTCGGACATTTGGTAGAGGAAGGCTTCTTTGTTGTTTCCTTATTTGTTGGAGTAGTTTTACCAAGGGTCGTTTGTGATGTACTTGGGTCGGTTGGAGTAGTTTGTTGTTTTGTTGCTGGAGTAGTACTGTCATTACTATTTGAATCAAACGTTCTAATATATTCTTTGAAGATGATTGAGATTGGTTCAGATTCTGTTGAGTAAAAAGGAAACAGAGTAATATTGAATAACGTTGTGACTTTGTGCGAACAAGATTGAGATTATTCTAAAGATTATTGATTTTAAATATATATATATAGGCGTGAGGAAAATGGTCTAGGAACGTGAGACGTAGCTGTACTTTACAAGTTTATTACGAGCTTTCGGCTTGTGAGGCCTTCTTCAGGTTCTGCAATGTACTGCTTCAGCCCTTCAGCCCTTGTATGTGTTTGTACCTCAGAACCTGAAGAAGGCCTCACAAGCCGAAAGTTCGTAATAAACTTGTAAAGTACAGCTACGTCTCACGTTCCTAGACCATTTTCTTCACGCCTACATATTCTGGAACACCCGTTGTCATGTCAGAGTTGAGAATGTTCGCACTTTTATACATATATGTATATATATATATATATATATATATATAAATGACACAATTCTTGTTTTGACCAGTTATTTTGGCTTAATGATACAATGTGATTTCCTTTTAAATAAACACCATTGAGATTATACCAAAAACTATAAATATCCAACACATAATTGCACTCCTTGTTCTGTTTCAATACCGTCAGTTATTACCCCCTTCACATACACAGATTTTACTTACGAGTCCTTACGGATTTCCAACTCGTAGTCAATCGCAAGGATCCGTAAATAACTCGTCACAACTCGCAACAACTCGTAGACACTCGAAAGGATCCGTGAAAGGAGAGGTAATTTTTTTTGACATGTGAAAAATCTCCTTACGATTGTCCATGGATTAATTTTTCCATAAGTAGCTCGTAAATAGCTTGTAACAATCCGTAAGTTTCATAAACCACTCGCAATAACACTTAGCTATCCATAAACTGTTCGCAAGAATCCGTAATTGACTCGTAACAATGTTTTTAAATGATTTGTTACAGTTATTTTACGATTTGGATTAATTATGGATTATAACGATTGCTTTGTTAATGGCGACTTCATCCGGTAGTGTTACGATGGCTTTACGGATTGTTATGCGTTATTATGACACTTTACGTGTAGTTACAAGTACTTTATGAATAGATACGTCTACTTTACATATTCTTACCAGCTGTTTACGATTTGGGGAAAGGTGTTAAAGCTGCAAATTCGAACACTTCAATTTCAGTTGTTATTTTTTGGTTTTAAAATTGCAGCTGTTATACCCCCTTCACAAACGCAGTTTTTTCTTAAGAGTCTTTACGGATCGTACAAATTCACAGATTTTTCACGGATCCTTACGATTTTGCATTTTTAACGACCGGTTTAAGAGTTATTTTGATGTATTTACGGCAAAAATCCACGATTTCTTACGAGTTGTCACGGATAACTACGAGCAACTAATGTGTTAGTTACGACCTGTTTATGTTTTGTAACGAATATTTACGAGTAAGTTACAAGTATTTACGATTCCTTACGATTTTTAACCAAAAAATAACAACTGAAAATGAAGTGTTCGAACTTGCAGCTTTTATACCTTTCCCCAAATCGTAAACAGTTTGTAAGCAAACGTAAAGTATACTTATCTATACGTAAAGTCCTCGTAACTACACGTAAAATGCTTGAATAACCTGTTTCAATCCGTAAAGCCATCGTAAAATGACCCGAATAAAATCGCAAACAACACATAAGCACACGTAACCATCCGTAAACTGCTCGGAATAATCCGTAAACAAATCGTAAACTAACCGTAACGAATCGTTACAAAAATCTGTTACGAGTCATTTACGGATTCTTGCGAGCAGTTTACGGATGGTTATGTGTTGTTGCGAGCGGTTTACGGATGGTTACCTCTCCTTTCACGGATCCTTAGGAGTGTCTACGAGTTGTTGCGAGTTGTGACGAGTTATTTACGGATACCAGCGAGTTATTTACGGATGCTTGCGATTGACTACGAGTTGGCGATCCGTGAGGACTCGTAATAAAAATCTGTGTATGTGAAGGGGGTATTATACTTTTGCCCAAATCGTAAGTAATACATGAGAATATGTCAACGATACGTAAGAATACGTAAAGTATACGTATCTATACGTAAAACACCCGTAACTACAGGTAAGCATTCGTTATAATCCGTAAACAAACTGTAAACAAATCATATAATAGGATTTTATTGAAATAAAAACATCAAAAACCAAGATCAAACAGTCCAAAGACTGACAACTGTCTAGGGTACAAAAATAAAATTTAAATCAAATATACATAATAAAATAGCAGTAATAAATAAATACATAAGTTACATAAGTTACATAAGTTAAAATATCAAATAACTAAACGGGCCATTCCGTGAGAAGAAGGACATGACATCAAAAAAAGAAATGTACCTCTTATGTTAATTCTTTGATTTTATCACTAACCTTATGCCATGGATGTTCATAAAACATTAGGGCCTTTCAAATTCAATACAATTTTTTTTTCATTTTTGTTGATTTCCTAAGATCTCAAACTATCATCAAAAACGTACATGTGGGACTGTAGCTGAAAAAAAAAACAATTTATTGCAGATTACACAGGATTCTTGTAATATTTTTTCCTCAAAAATTTCGCTAAATGGAAAAAGATGAATATATTTCCATATTCTAAGGGGTCCTGTGATATTTAATCTATTACATAGGGGTGAAAATGGCCTCCGGACAAAATGTAACGCGAGTTACCGTAACGTGAGTTACCGACATATTTGCTTCCTGCATTTTACTAGTCCATTGTTTCTTATCTTTAATATTGTGATCTTATACTAGTAAGTCACTACCTACTATCAAATTAAAGTAGGAAAGATTTTGTCAAGATTGTCTAGTATGAGGAGAAAAGAGGGTCTCGTAGAATTGACCATGTCCTTTTTTTGTAACGCGAGTTACCGAAATTCAATAATCCAAGAATCTAAAAATGTTTGTTCTTCAATTTTCTTTTTTGTTTCATTCAGTTGTTCTATATCTACCCTGTCCATGTTTGAAAAAAGTATCTTGTAGATCCTAGCAGTTCTAAAGATATAGGCACATTATCGTGTCAATGTACCCATTAAGTGTAACGCGAGTTACCATGGAATGGCCCAAACTATTATCAGTAAATATTGCAAAAAGGACATATAAACGAATAAGTATACATCATTACAATTATATCAAAAAAGGGCTCTCGAGCTGTGCAATAACTAAATCAGGCACAGACCGAGAGTCCAATAAAAAGAAGATTAAAATGCATAAGACTGGGTTTAAAAAGATCAAGAGTAAAAAGAGGGGAATACGTCAGCTAAAGAATAATTTTTTTAAATTTAAAGTATTGAGAAAGTACAAGGAACATACAATAAAGAAATTCCCAAGAGAGCATAGAGAAAGAAAAGAGTAAGATAGAGGGAGAGAGGGAAGGAAAGAAAAGGTGAAAGAGAGAGAGAGAGAGAGAGAGAGAGAGAAGGAAGGGGATAGGAAGGAAGTTAGGGGAATATCAATACCAACTGTAGACTCGGTAAAAACAGCCCAAGTATCCAAACATTATAGACATTGTAATTGATCTGAAATACATGTAACATACAATAAAGTTATTCCCAAAAGAGCAAAGAGAAAGAAAAGAGTAAGATAGAGGGAGAGAGGGAAGAAAAGAAAAGGAGAAAGAGAGAGAGAGAGAGAGAGAGAGAGAAGGAAGGGGATAGGGAGGAAGTTAGGGAAATATCAATAAGATCTGTAGACTCTGTAAAATCAGAACAAGTATCTAAACATTGTAGACATTATTGCAGGAATTATGAAATACATGTACATAAAGGAAAAAGAAACATGTGTAATCTACCAAAGAAGAATGGAAAAAGAAGGAGGAGGAAAAGAGAAGAATTTGAGAAAGAGAGGGGAAAACACAAGAAAGAAATTTAGAAATTGATAAATTTACACAAGTTTCATCATGTTGATTACCTTCACTGCCTGTGGTATAAAAGAATTTTGGTATCTGGAAGTACGGCATGTTGGTTGGCAAAGGGGGTCACTGTTTCTTAAGTGGCGAAAATTTGGTAAGGAGTCCCTACGTGGAGGGAGCATGGAAGAATGTCTGGATTGCAAGAATGATTTAACAAAATTTATGAACAATTGTTGTCGTCTATCTGCAAGGGATGGAATCTGTAAAATTTGAAGGGCATAAAGGTAATCAACATAATTATATCCCAAAATGATACGGCAAGATCTTTTTTGGACTCGTTCGATCTTGTTCGACTGATTGGCAGTAATAGATGATGACCACACTGGGGAGGCATATTCAACTAACGGTCTAATGTACATACTATAGATAGCAACCAAATCCTCAAGTGGAGCTTTGTGTTTTTTAAGAACACAAAGGATGTAAAAACGTCGGGATGCTTGTTTGACAGCATTATAGACTTGTCTATCCCATTTCATATCAGACTGTAAGTGCACTCCCAATAACTTAACAAACTCAGTAGGCTGGAGGACAGAGTTACTGATGCTAACTTCGGGCATAACAATCTGGTTCCGAAGGAAAGAGATATGCAATACCTTACACTTCTTAGGCTTAGGGGTCATCTGATTATCAACAGAACACTCAGAGATCAAAGATAAATGATCTTGCAATACGGAGGGTTGAGATTTGTGTCTGATTTCAGCGACACTCAAATCATCAACATATTTCCATCTCAGAGGAGTAGAGGTTGCAACATCATCATGATTAAGAAAAGAATGGGACCGAGCCTCGTACCTTGCGGTACTCCACATGTAACAGGCAGGGGTCCACTAAAGGTAGATCCTAAACGTACACAGTGAGATCTATTCTCCAAGTAGCTACACAAGAGAAGGATAGTATTTGGATCAGTACCTAACTTAAACAACTTCTCAATCAGCACATTGTGATTGATGTGATCAAATGCCTTAGCATAATCAATAGTACAGACTGAGGCAACATAACCAGGTTTGTCAAGACCTTTCAAGATCGAATCGATCATACTTATTAAGTAATGAGAGGTTGATAATCCTTTCATATTACCAAACTGTTGACTATCAATTTTGCTCATAATGTCCTGATATAACCATTTAGTGAGAAATGCTTCAAAAACCTTTGCAAAGGTAGGGGTGAGTGATATTGGTCTTAGTTGGTCAACAGTATTACATGGTGTACTCTTAGGGATTGGAACAATGTCTGAAACCTTCCAACAATCCGGAAAATTCCCTGTTTCTAAACATTTATTAAAAATCATAGTCAAAGGACCTGCTATCTCGGGAGCGGATTCAGAGATAAGTCTAGTGGGTAGGTCATCATGATGTGAGGATTTAGATGGTTTGAGTTTGCACAGTTCACGATACACTTGATAAGCTTCAATGCTGGGAGGAGGATGTGAAGCAGGCAAGAAAGCCGGTAGAGAAGATCTTTCGAGCGGAGGTAACTGACAACAAATTCCTGCGAAATGGTTATTGATGAAACTTGCTTGCTCAGATATGCTCATTTCACTACCAGGTAGAACAGTAGACTTATTTTTCATCCCGGTGATCATAAACTAACCGTAAAAAATCGTTAAAATAATTGTTACGAGTCATTTACCGATTCCATTTGTTGATGGTTACGTTTTGTTGTGAGCTGTTTATGAGTCATTTACGGAAAAAATAATCCGTGTACAATCGTAAGAAAATGTTTGACATGTCAACAAATTTGCCTCTCCTTTCACGGATCCTTACGAGTGTCTGCGAGGGTTCCATGACACATGCTCCGCCGACGATTGCTCCGCCGACATTTACTCCGCAAAACGCGACAATTGCTCCGCGACATTTGCTCCGCGACATTTGCTCCGCCGACAGTTGCTCTGCCGACAGTTGCTCCGCCGACAATTGCTCCGCCGACAGATGCTCCGCCGACAATTGCTCCTCCGACAATTGCTCCGCCGGCAATTGCTCCGCCGTCAATTGCTCCGCAAAACGCGACAATTGCTCCGCCGACATTTGCTCCGCCGACATTTTCTCCGCCTGAAGCGACACTTGCTCCGCCGACATTTGCTCCTCCGACATTTGCTCCGCCGTCAATTGCTCCGCCGACAATTGCTCCGCCTGAAGCGACAATTGCTCCGGTGACATATGCTCCGCCGACAATTGCTCCGACGACATTTGCTCCGCCGACAATTGCTCCGCCGACAATTGCTCCGTCGACAATTGCTCCGCCGACAATTGCTCCGGTGACATTTGCTCCGCCGACAATTGCTCCGACGACATTTGCTCCGCATGAAGCGACACTTGCTCCGGTGACATTTGCTCCGATGACATTTGCTCCGCCCAAAAAGTGTCCCATTAAATACAAATGCTACTAGTACTACGACAAATGCTTCGCCGACAATATTTTTTTTCACGGGTTGTTTTTGTTTCTTTCTTTTTTTCTTCATTTTTTGAATGCATTTCATGACATTATGTAAATGAAATGAAATGAATGAATGTTGATAATGTGGGAGGAAAAAGCAGTTGCCTAAAAGTCATTTCGAATATACTGAAATAACTTTCCATCTATCACTGTACGTCCCACATAATGTACACTAAACACTCATTACATGTCATGGGAAGTTTTTTTTTTTAAAGTAGAGCAGCAAGCCACATTCCCCAATACGCGCATACCTCCTAGTTAATTTCAAACAGCTCATCAATATGTAAGACCTGAAATTACCTCAATGAAAGAAGACTAATAACATGAGAGGAAAGAAAAGAGCAAAAAAGACAACCGTTTTTTGCTATTCCCCATAATGTTTGATTTAAAAAAATAAAAAATAAAATTATAGCTCCTTACGCAAGTTAATTACTCCGCTCAAAATCTGTTTCATGTATTACTCATTAGCTGATCCAAAGCTCAAGGCTATCTCTCTCTCTCTCTCTTTCTCTCTCTCCCATGCTCTTCCTTTTCCTGTTTACACCGTTTTCTTGTCTTCTTTGCTCTTTTCTTTCCTCTCATGCTATTAGTCTTCTTTCATTTCCATCACTTCTTCTCTGCTCCCCCTCTCGAGTTCTATTTCTCTCGTGAAATTGAAACGTAAAGTAATACAATCATGTAGTACATGCTTGTTTAGAATAATATTTTCAATAATATCCAGTCCATTTTCTAAAGGTTTCTTTCCTTTAGTTAAGTGTATGTAGCTTTAATATATATATATATATGTTAGTGTGCAAAACACTCCGTTTCATTCGAGTACTTTGTTTTCACTAAATAATTTAAGGGACTCACGAAGCCACCGGAAGAAGAGCAATTGGCTTATCATGAAGAACTAACATCAAACTGCAACAAAATGATTTGTATAAATGTGAATAAGCAGAAAGGCTGCCATCTCATTTTCCCGCCTGAATGGGTTCTCTTCCTTACGTATATAAGTGCCCTTATTTTCTAAACTTTTTTTTTAATATTTGTGTGTTTATTACATTTTCAATCATATAAAAATTACATATTTTACAAGTCATTGGTAATAATTAGACAAACAAAAAAACCAATATTGGTTTAAAGATATAGTTGAGTTCTTGTTATGCAATTTCATTGTGAAAGAAACGGTATGAAATCAAGCACTGTAAACAGAAAATGTATATGGGGCTACAAGAATATGTGGCATAAAAATCCGTCCCGATTTGTATGTTGTTCAAGCAATAGTTAGAATATGAAAGCATTTGAAGGGCCATGCTTTTCAGGATTTTTTTTATTTGATGTTCTTCCACGCTTACAAAATAACAATGATAGCGCTCACAAATAATTGTTCTCCTTTTCCCAGAACTCAACCTTCTCTTTAAATACAAACATATAATGTATTGATATTGTTTTATATCTTCATTATGCCTGTATTAAATGTGGTAACTTTCTTTTATTAGAAACAATGATATTATTCCAAAGACTATCAATACAAATAATGTGAAATATTGCAATCAATTGTTTTCAATACCTTCACTTTCAGTCGATTCAACGTTTTGACATCCAAATAGGAAGATTGATATTATTCCAAGGTACAAGATCCATTTAACGTCCATCTTGATAGAGCTGTCATGTGCTTTCTGGAGATATTGATCTAAATGACGATAATATAACCGCGTTCTTATCCTGGGGTCGTCTTTTAGACTTTGCCAGTGTGAAGGAAGATAAGCGAACCCTTGACCTTGACAGATGATTTAAAGTAGACATAGGAAGAAAATAAATGTCCATACTCACGGAAAGCATACGTTACTAATAAATTTTGTTGTTCTTTTACATAGCATATCACAACAAACTTCTGGCTACTGGATATCTTCAATTGAAATGTCGAAAAAGCCTCCTCTCTTTGCCTAGAACATCTGTCACGGAACAGGTCCACGATCTGTGACGTCATGACTGGGAAAGAGTATATTCACGTATCCGGAATGTTCCATAGAAAAGCATGTGCAGAAAGATACGAGTTTCTGCTTATTTTGTTTATAGGCTGAAAAGTCCAATAATTCATTATTCTATGTACAATTGCTCACCTTCCCCTAATATTTCATAGTATGCATATCATTTCCCTTTTCAATATTATGACATATACATGCCAACGATGCACTATTAGTCGATATTTTCACCATATAATATTTGTGGGTGTGTTGAAATTGATGAGATTGTGCATGTGCCTGGTGAGGTAGAACCGGTCGTTTGGCTTCGTTTTCGCGTCCTGTCTGTATACACAGACACATGTAGCAATTTATAATTGCTGGATATTATGACCAGCACGATCTTTGTATGAGTTTTGAAGAGTTTATGGATGAAGATGATGAAAGTGGATTTTCAGATCTTCCAAACTCCTACATCAGTAGTCACTGAGAAGCAGGTATTGGTTAGTTTTTTCCTAAGCTGGTAGCGTCGCTCTCACTCTCTTGCAATTGCCAATATACAAATACCTATAGCACGTATGTTTCTTAAGATGCCAAGAGCAGCTGCCTGGTCTTACCTCTCGATTCCGCTCGCTTCACGAACGTTCGTGCAAGAGCCGCATCACTCCA